GGAAAGACAATTTCTAGAGCACTGGCATGGACCCAAAAAAGAGGAAGTAAAATTTTGTGGAATATATAGAAAAATAAGGTAACTGTTAACTCTAAGTATGACTGCTAAGTCTGCAAGATGATCTCCTTCAAGAAGACTATAGTTCAGGCTTAATCTACAAACAGAATTTATCTGACCAAAAAAATAACTTCTTCCAAGTAGGGAAATTTAAGCCTTTAACCTCATACAGGGCAAACAGGGAAAGAAAGAAAGGCAGACAAAAAAGGTGCTAAACATGGTTATGATTAAGAGGGGGAATTAGCTTCCAGTACAACTATTAAAAAGTGGTTTACTAGCGAAAATGTCGAACATCTGTGCAAGAACTATGGCAAGAAGAAACAGAAGCCACATGAACCCTAAAACAGTGCTATATTCCACTTATACCCAAGACACCCTAATCAAGCAGATGAAGAAAATGTAGACTTTTGACAAACAGAGAAGTTATAACATTATAAGTCTGTGAACAATTTTTTTGGCTGCCAAGCAAACAATACTAGGTGATGCATTTTAGACTCCGCAAACTTGACCTTCTTTCCATTCCTGGAAGTCATGCTCTAACGAAGACACGGACCTAAGGGCTGGTACCATCCAGCCACTGCCTTGAGAGTAAAAAGATACTGTGGGAAATGACTGAGGTATCTGCTGCCAGTTCCAATAGGGTGGAGAACTACTGTTGAGACCAGTAGGGTGAAAAAAGTTTTCTCTCATTTTAAGAGTCTGACTAGAATAAGGGAATAATTAAGCAGGAACAGGTCACTGAACTCTTGAGTTCAGCCTTTCAAGATATCATTAATGGTTATCACCATCTAAATGGATATTCAAAACCAGAACTGTGTGGCTTGTTCGCTTCACTATATCTACAACACTTTAGATCTTAAGGATTTCTCAACATCTAGATTGATGAAATCCCTCTATATTATAAGGGGACAAGATTGTCAGGCATGTTTGGAATTCTTGCTCTTTAAGAGTTCAGATTTGCATGCCTGGATGATGTGAATAACATCCTTTATTTCCAGGACACTCATGTGCATATTTTTTATATTTAGAGTGTGGTGAATTATCAAGCTCAAAAGAGTTCACTGTTTAGAAGGTAGGTTTAAGAAGGCCAGCTTGATGAAAGGCCCAGGTTATAAGGACAGACCACCATGACTGGATCTCACAGCTTGATATATGAGGGCTTGATAGGTCAAAGACCATTAGGACTGATGACAACAGAGAGTCCTCTCACATGTAGCTTGATGAGTAGTGATGGTACAAGTACTGATAAGAGCAGTTAACTGTGAAAATTTCTGTAGAGATGTTACAGGCAGGACAGTCTTTTTCCAGCTGATATCCACATTAGACCTGTGACATCTAGCCATCATACTGAAATTAAACTGGATTTGGCAAAGTTTTATCTGAATTCCAGTTCTTGACATACAGCTTCATGGTTGTTTCTAAAGTCTCATAGAGCTTGAGAGGAGAATGGACTCTTGGTGAGTTGATCATCCTGACACAAAAAGATTTTAACAAATCTGTCTTCTGTAAAGACGTGTGAAACCGAAGACCAAATAAGGAAGAAAGCACTGATGACCTAAAAATGAAGGGGTCTGCCTCTGGTCTTAGTAAAGCAAGAGCAATAGTAGGTTATTTCCAGATCCAAAATCTGATAGTCCTCGGTTTACCAATAAGATTTTCCTGAGGAACAAATCCAGACTTGTCTTTAATTATAAGAGGATTCAGATTCCTGAGTACCTTCCTCTGGACTTAATTTGGACCAGAAATAATGGATCTTTGTCCAACCCTCTTCAGATGAAAGTCTCCACTGTTTACTTGGCCAATAAAACATGAGTCTCTTTATTATATATTACACTCCAAAAGTCTAGAATTTGAACATTAGCTGTGGTTATTCCTGATTTGCATTAAGTTTTTAAGATGACCTCCTACTTATAGATCCTACTTTAGTTGGAAGGAGCAAGTAAAATAGTTAGGATTCTGGACAGCTATTCTGCTGAACATGAACAGATAATTAATTTTTGTACCCATGGCGTTCTGGGGATTCTCCCTTTTTTCTATACCTATAGGGGTGATTTCGGGGTTTGTACCAATCCCCTTTGTAGTATCCTCTATTGTGATAATGTGCTTTCTGATCATGACTATAAAAGTATCGATGCTGGTTAGAGTATTTGTTGTGGTCTTTACAGTCATTGTCTTTTATACTATTTTCCTCTGCAACAACAGCATTCACATCTTGTCCAAAGAGGGAAGTACCATCAAAAGGCAAGTGTGAGATCTTCTCCTGGGTTTTCTTAGTGAGAGAGGTAAGTCGGAGCCAAGCTTGCCGTCTGTAATCTATTGCCATGGCCATAACTCTAACTACGGAGTCCATTATGTCCCTAGTAGTACAAAGCTGCCAAAGGCCCGCATCCATACCATCAGATATTATACATCTTGCTTTTCCACGATCAAACTCTGGGTCATGTACCAGATCCTCCATGTCTTCCCAGAGTTTACGCTGATACTGAGTCATATAGGCCATGTAGCTAGCAGCTCGGGCTGCAATGGAAGCAGCATGGTAGAACCTACAACCCATGACCTCCATTTCTTTTGAGGTGGAATCTAGAGGGGATGTTGTGCTTCCTCTTTTGCTGTGCTCTAATGCTTCTACAATGGGGCCCTCAGCTGGTGGATTCGGTTGGAAAGGAGAGGTGTCCTTAGCCACAGGATATACCCTGTGTCCCATGAAGGAAGAAGGATGGCAATCAGCAGGATCTTTAAAAACCTCAGTGGTGGCAATTCTCAGAAGAGGATGCAATGGAGGAACCAAACGTTTCTTAGAAATCATACAATCAGGTTTCCCTTCACATGATTCTGCTTCAGGTTGTAATGTTACCCTCTTTATAACACCTCTTTGTTCCATTCTCTTCAAAAGACCTGTGAAACTAGATTGGCTGGGGTCAGAAGGCTGTCCTTTGTCATCAGCAGAGGGGGATTTGCAATCAGCCTCTTCGTCAATTGTGGATAAACTGTCCTCCTTAGAGGTGGAGATGTCCCAAGGAACAGAGGAGTTCTCACTTGTCCTAGAATGATGAAATCTAAAACAGCTCCTGGATTGTAGATCACGTATCACTCGGGACATCTCAGCCACTTGTGTCTGGAGATAGAGGATGGCATCCTGTCCATGCTGTGAACTTGAAGAAGACTCTCTAAGTAAATCCTCCTTGACCTCCAAAGAAGCCAAAGATTCCTGGGGGACCAGAAGTGGACATGAAGGTAGAGGCTGAGTATTTTGTGATGGTTTGGGTGTCTCTGTCTCAGAGATCTTAATATCTGAATTACTTTGATCATTTTTCTGGTTCTCCAATGGGTTCTCAACAGAGGAAGGCTGAGAAACTATCCTTTGTGGACTGCTGGAGCAACTCCCAGAGGAGGAGCTGCTGTTTCCAATGGAAAGAGGAACACTGCAGCTAGAGCACATTTCTGGGCGATGATTCTCAGAGGATGGCACCTTAGACTCAGGCATTCTCTGGGTTATCCACATGAACAAGAAAACCAAGGAAGAAAAAAAATATGCTTTTAATATATTAACTTTCAAGTGGAGAGATGCATGTCCAGTAAGCAGAATTCAATTTTTAAAGTATTATAATTAACAGTGAAAGATCTAATCCAATAATGTCAGCAAGAGAATCACAGACGTCAAACACAAGCTTCACTACCCCAAAGGCCCCAATACCAACTGCTGGCATTAATCTGGGACTCAGTCTATGAAAAAGGAGAGAGTAAACACATGCCCAGTTCAAGTGGTACCATCCTGGCCTGCTGCTTGGTCTCATGCTGTGATAAGAGGAGGTGATAAAACCACTGGTGATAAGAATTAAGGGGGAAAAAATCCCATTCAACATATGTAAATCGGCAAGTAGAAGTTAAAGATGGTAGAGAAAACTTGGGAAAAGGTCCACTGAGAGAGAAAAAATTTAACACCTCCTCCCACTGCAGTCACTTTTACGCCCCTTTTAGAAGGTCCTGTCAATCACTCTCTCTGATAAAAACAATCCTAGTTTATGGTTAGTAGTTCACAAGGAGCTTACATACTTGTTACCTCATTTCATCCTCACAACAACCCTGTGAGGTAGGTATTATTCTTGTTTGATAAAGAAACTGAGGTTAAAAGATTAATTTATCCAAAGTCACAGAACTAAAGCAGTAAAGCTCGGACTCAAACCCAGGTAATTCTGATTCCAAGTCCAAGTCTTGATCCCCTGTATCACAGAGTAAGAAGCTCTCTGGCCACCTTGGACAAAAGCCAGGTGTACTCTAATCCACAAAGAAAACAGGCCATTAATAGAAGCTTGGGCTAAGACAAAGACAAATGGAAAGGCAAGATTGCTACAAAGGGAACAGCTAGCTTGATTCTCATAGAAAAGGAAGTACTGGTTTAAGGGGACAAACCCATGACCAATAAGTCACAGGTAAGAGAAATAATGCCAAACACACAGGGAAGAGAGGAGGTTAGAAGGTGTGATGACTGAAGTAATAAATCACGTATAAACCCTTCCCCCACTTTTCATTTTCTACAGGATTTTCCACATATCTTTCCAAGAACAAATTTTCTGTGGCATGTGGTTCTGGAAAAAAAGGATCCAGTTCTTACAGCACCTGAGGAGAGTAAAAGAAAGGAGGGCAAGAGGAGCCAAAATGCTTGTAGTTTTTATTCCATTTCCTTTTTATCTGATACCACTTCCAGGGCTTAGAACTTCCCTGCTTTGGGTTATCCCTTCACATCCTCACTAAAGTAGAGAAACAAAACTGGAAGTGGGAGTTGTTCTGGATAAAGGATTCCTTGGACTACAATTTTAGCAGAAATGGGCCGCTGTCTAAAACTACAGCTCCTAAACACAGCCATCAATGACCTGATAACCCTCTAGAGAACGCCTCTTAAATGATAGAAGTAAGGAAATGCAAAACAAATACAATGTACTTACATCACTATGAGAAGTGCTAGGCTCTTCATCGTCACTGCTGACCAGGTCAATGTATTCAAGAACAGGTCTTAACGGTCCTTCCTATAAAATAATTGAGCAAATTTGCAAGTCATGAACAGTTATTCAAACCAAACTAGCATTTACAACAGTTAGTGTTTTTTTGTTGGGGTTGGCAAGTATTCTTCTGAAGAGAAAGCCTACAGGAGGCGGCACAGAATAACCAGGAACAAAAGAAGCAAAGGAAAAAATTCAGAGTACATAAATAAGAACTGATGACAAAACCAAAAAAAGAAAAGCCTAAATCCCTGTAGAGTATTAGGGCCATGTTGATCCCTTGGGCAAAGGGAAAATAATATGGAAATAGCACTATAAGGATACAGATATTATTATCCAATACTTTCAGCTGGGATGAATATCCAGGCTCAAAAACATAAAGTTTGACTAATAGCTATGCATCACCCACCCCTACAGAATCAAACATCAAGCCCGAATTTTTGCCCATCCTTTCCATCCATACTGCCTTCATCACAGACTACACCTTGAACGATAGGCTTAAAAGCCTAAATTTCATTCTACAGGCAAAAAGGAATCAATAAATAATACTGAGATGGGAATAAAACTACGAGAGCTGTGCTTCAAAAGGATTAATCACACAGAGGATTCTGGAGAGGTGGAAACCAGGGTTAATCAATCAGCCCAGGCACAAAATAATGCACAACTAAAACAGGGTGTTGGCAAACAGAACAATTAGGTGGGACACATACAAAAGAATATAGGGTAAAAAGGGGGGTAAAAAAGGCTATAAAACAACAACAACAAAACCAAAAAAACAAGGAGTCAACATGGTCTCTTTAAGGTTTCAAGCTTAAGTGACTAGAAGGATATTAAAGCCATTAGCATACACTAGGAATGCAAAAACAGAAAGCTGATGTTCTTTTGGATAAAATGGATTTGAAATACCAGTGGTACACAGAGGTATCTAGCAGACACCTGAAAATGCAGGCCTATAATCTGGGTGTAGGAAAATAGCTGGAAATAGAGATTTGGGAGCTCTTCCCCTAGAAGACTACTAAACTCTAGAACTAAATTCAAACTATGATGTTGCCAAGAAAGAAAGCAGAGCAGAGAGAAGAGAGTCAGGAGGCTCTTGAGGAAATGCTAGAATTTTAAGATTCAGGAAGAGCTATGTAGGCAACTAGAGATGGAAGACGAGTCAGGAATGCATTAACTCAAAGAAACTAAAGATGGGGAAAACCTGAATGGAAAGTTATCAATGCTAAATGTGGCCAAATATATTAAGCACCATGAAAATGCCACTGAATTTGGCAAAAAGGAGATTTTAAAATGCCTTTAAGAGAACAACTATCAAGAAAGTAGCAGAAGCTAGTAGAAAGAAGCATAGAAGACAGGGTCTAAAAAATTAAGGAGCAGAGAATGAGGCAGTAAAGGCCCTGAAGAAAGATTATGCTTCCAAGAAATGCAGTATGTTGGCAACAAGAGAAAGGAATATAAGAAATGGCTGAGGAAATGGGAGTTGACTATAACCTAAAGTGATAACACTCAGTGGAAAAAACTAATAGAAGTTCTAGAGTCAGCAGACTGAAGCTAACCAAATTCCCATCAAGTCGATTTCGACTCATGGAGACCCCACAGGATTTTCAACAGCTGATTTTTCAGAAGTAAATTCGCAGGCCTTTCTTCCAAGGTGCCTCTAGGTGGACTCAAACCTCCAACCTTTTGGTTAACAGCTAAGCACAAGTTATCCATTTGCACCGCCCAGGGACTCCAGACAGAAGCTAAGATGCAGTTAATGATCTTCATCTTAGAAAAGACCTCCAGTCTCAAAGAGAACTTGTTTCTCCCCTAGGCTATGATCTCTGCCCAACCAGGAAATTGATACTCTTACAGGTAGGGATCCAGCCACCAAGATAAAACCAGGGAGCAAAACTTCTGGTTAGAGATCTGTAATAAAGGAATTAGGATTTTTGCCTTAGCTGTAAAAAATGGAAGTTAAACAAATAAAAAGAGAGAGACAAGGACGACAGATAATTCTCCAACAGACGACCAATGTATTGTTCTGAACCTAAAAACCTATCCCTGGTATTAAGACTGTCAAAATCTTATCTTTAATCAACTTCTGGTTTGAGTAGTTTGTAGAAAGAAGTAAAGGAGATGAAAATACAACAGCTTTTCCAGTTCATATAATCATCTTAGTTTCCTCCCTTCAAGAAATTTGCATTAGGATGGGAGAAGAGCCAGAAATACAAAAACTCAAAGAAGCTAAAAATAGAGAAAACCTGAACAGAAAGCTGTTAATACTAAATGTGGCCAAAGAATTTTATTACATGTTCATACATATCGCAAACCAAAAAACTCTCCAGGCTATCAGAAATACACGGAGGTGGGACAGAGCATCCATGAACAGAGAGCAGGCAAACAAGAAGGTGACAGGGTACAAGGCAAAAAGCAGAATGGGCAGGGGGAAAAAAAATGGTAAGGAAAATGGTCACAAATAGGATTTAAAAAATAGCTGTAGAAATAGGAGAAGGGGCAGGAGTAAGGGTAGATGAGAGAAGACTACTACCAGGGTGAACCGTTAGACTGATATGCAACAATTTTTGAACTATAAAGTCAATTTTATATTATTCATGCTAATTAAACAAAGACAAAGGATTAGGATAGGAAATCCAAAAGTGAGAAAAAGAAGTCATTTAGAATATTTATTAATTCACTCAACAAATAATTACTGAGCATCTCTTACATACCAGGTATGGAAAGTGACAGAGTGGTAGAAAGAGAAAGATTAATGTATTTAAGACTGCCAAAAAGGCAAATTAGGCTGAGTGGAAAAAATAAGGAAAGGTAAGTTCACTAAAGGAAAATATTAGTTATACACAAACACTGTACACTGTTCACAGTGGATATAGAAAACCTTCCACCATAATGAACTTAAGGAAGAAAAACTTTTCAGTATTCCATTTATTTTACTAGTAACTGATAACACTTATTGAGCTCTTAAGTGGCGCAAACAGTTAACATGCTTGGCTACTAACTAAAGGTTGGAGGTTCGAGTCCACTCAGAGGTACCTTGGAAGAAAGGCCTGACAATCTACTTCTGAAAAATCAGCCACTGAAAACCCTATGGAGCACAGTTCTACTCTGACACATGAGGTCACCATGAGTTGGAGTCGACTCAACAGGAACTGGTTTAATTTTCTGGTTTTACTGAGCTCTGTAGCAAGCATTGTGCTAAGCTTTTCATGTACCTAATTTCATTTAATCTCCCCAACTACTGTACAAGGTGAGATACAAACTTACTACTATTATCTTACTTAAAGAGATGGGAAAACTGAATTAAGGCGCACGTGTTCTCTAAACACACAGTTGACTGTGTGGTCATTAAAATTCTGAGGCAGTTCACAGCATGAATAGTATTTTTAAACGAATGTTTATTACATAGATTTCTGAGTAAGACACTTTCTCTTCCTTCCATAAGAGAAAAAGAACTACCTGCTATTTGCCCCCACCTTTAAATAAAATGTAACGCTTACCAAAACTAAGTTATTAATTTCTCCAAAAGAAGTAATGTTTATAACACAAAATATCAAGGAAAAATAACTATTAATATCCCACATTTATAATGACTACTTATATTCTTAGCAAGCATAAATGTAAGGTATTTTATTTGAATGTGTTCTATCCATTAAAAAGTCAACTGCCATTCTCATCCATCTACACCAGTAACAAAATCAAAGACTACTTCTCCCAAAGTGATAAAATTTAGGGGCAGAAGCACATGCACAAGCATGGCAACAGAGTTGAATTACTATTCTAAGTTTAAAATATAATTTTTTCAATGAAACAAAAAGTTCTCATTCTTGTTATTACAGAAACTGATTCTCAAAGCCAAAACACCAATTACCTACTAATCGGAAAATGACGTCAATATAGCAAGATATGGTCTATGAAGAAAGTAGTTTACCCTAGTCTAAAACATTAAGAATAGGGATTTGATCATAAATGCAAAAATCCAATCTAAAACCCTAAATAATTCTCCCCCCACCATATGAAGAAGTTGGGGACATAGATCAGTTCTGCAATCCTGTCTAGTTCAAAGGTTTTGAATGGCTCCCAGCTGCCTACTTTATAGTTCAAATTTAGTCCAACATTCAAAATCTATACTGTCTGGCCCATTCTGCCCTGTATCATTAAAAAAAAAAAAAATTATCCTCCAGAACTACACATGCTCCACTCTGCTTTCCTACTTTGATGCCTTTTTTTGTCCTACTCAAAATGCCCTTTTAAACACAGATTCCCTCTTATCTATGCCAAAGTAACAAAATGAAAATCTTGTGTCCTTTACTGTTTTTGGTAGCACTACGTACTTTTTATAGAACTACTTTCTATTAGAACTCTTTACATAGTTCTCCCCTCCCATCTTATCTTTCTCACTAAACCTGAGGACATATTTGCAATTAATCTTTGTAAGCTCTAACGTACCTAACTCATGGCTCTGAATATTATTAAGTGTTCACATAGTTTTAATTACTGAGCAAATTACTGCCCCAAGACCCTCAGGCAAAACATATCTGTATTTTTTGCCTCTGATTCCATGTACTGGAGTCAAAATATTACAACTCCACCTATGTGCTCTGAAAGCTATTTATGAAATTATATATTGATTTCCTTAACTAGTCCCACATTTTTAGAGAATAATTTTACATTGTAGAAATAATCTTGGTTGAAACCTTGATCTCATGTGCCATTATCAAGATCACCATATGCTTCCCTGGTAGTTTTTATACCTTTATATCTAGAGTAGCACTGTGAAAAATCAGATTATCAGCTCTTAGCTAAAACAGTCTTTTGGGAGTAAATTACTTAAAACATCTGCAGTTTCAAAGATAGACATAAAGATGGTGGCTGAATGAGCAGAAAATGAAAGCAACAGACAGAAATAAAAGGTTTTCATTATGGGTAACACTCTGCCTCTTGATTAGGTACTGGGTACACAGGTGTACTGCCTTTGCAAAAACCTATCAAGACGTATACCTATGAATTGTGCATGTCTCTGTATGTATGTTATATTTCAATACAACTTAAACAAAATAAAAGGGCTCATTTTTCACCTCCAAATCTGTTATCTCCTTTTCTTCAGCATGTGTTTAGCTTCAGACTCTGTATTTTGCAGAGAGACTGCTGTGCCACCATGTCAATTACAGGTGGGAAAATTAGACTAAGAAAGGGCTAAGAAATCCAAAGCAGAGTCTATCAAGAAATGACATCATAATGCTTTTTGTATCTGAAGAACTCTTAAGCAGAGAACTGTTTTCCATTTCTACTGGATAAGCATATTATCCTGGAGAAGTCGAGCATATGATTGGGTTACTGAGGTAAGTAGTGGATTCTGTCTCTGAATAAATATTAAAATAAAATTAAACTATCATTAATTATCTTTTAAGTAGTATCACTTAAAAGTAAAGGGGTATTTTTAACAAGCTCCTTCTAGAATTATAATTCCACTTACTGCATATAACGCACTTCTCCATTTGGATCTGTCAAACATTAAACCTATATATGAAAACAGGAATAAATATAATAGGCTATATCAAGTTGGATACACAACACACTGGTTGTTCATTCTTTATCCTTGATGTAAAGACACAACAGATTCTCTGTTTTTAAAATAAAATTTAAATTAAAAGAATATTTTTAAATCTCAGCCTAACACATGCTTATATATTAATCTAGTCAGAAACTACAAGGCAATTCTTTATTCCTCAATGTACTAGATATTTATTTTTTAATAGATTTTGATAGAGTTCATCTGTTTCTCAAAAGACCCACAGTTCACAAAGAAGTGTCTTTTTTCCCAGTTTATTTGCACAAATATCAAGATTGATTTTTGTTCATGGATATACTACAATTCAGAGGAACATGATATATTTGTCCTAAAGAGCCATGGAAACCTGTTACCAAACATACTTCAGTACAGTAAGCGAAGGATCAGGACACAATTCATTTTGTCTCCCTTCCCCCTAAATCCTGAAAAGTTCTAAATAAAAGGGACAGAGTATAATATGCACTGACAATGAAGAAAGCCAAGAAAACAATCTTGAGAAGGAATTCTAAGCAAAAAATTACACCACCAAACAATGTAACATGACCAAACAATGTAACACCACAATGGCCATAATGTCCAGGGGTAAGGGAGGACATTGTTTAATATCCAGTTTTACAAAGTTGCCTGAAACCTACAATAACCTACAAACAAAGATACACATAACACAGGCCCTCTACTAAAGAAAAATTATACAGTTTTAATATCAAATTTCAATTAACTACTACAGCCTTCAGAAATAGAGTGATTCGGGCAGTAGCCTTCTCTAATTAGCTGAGATACCACTTTTAGCAGACTCTTTCTAAAACTTAGTATTTTTGGATAAAAATGATCTCAAAATATATCAGATTTCTCCCTTCAGTTTTCCAAACAATGTTTCACAAAATGTGGTTCAGAGATTCACACACCCCCGCGTTTGTTTCAAATGAAGATTCCTAGGCTCCACCATGAAATTCTGATCTAGCAGGTCTGGAGTGAAGCCCAGGAATCTGCACATTTTCACACACTAATGCTTGAAAACTACTCACACAAAGGGAATAAATGCAGTAAAATATACGATGCTCCTAATGACCCAGGGATCCTCATTATGAACATCAATTCTACTATGCTGTAACATGATGATCTCAAAGATTAGTGCAGTCTTTAAGCTACCGCCCTCAGGTTATGCCTTAGCAACACAATGTTAAGCTTTTGGGTTCTTTCAACCTTTTTTCAACCTCCTTCTTAATCATTAGCTGTCTTTTCTCCATAAGGTACACATGTCCTTCTCCATGTGTCATCTTTTAAAAGATACTCTTGCCCTATTCCAAAAAGAGACCAGTATATTGTCTAAATTACGTGTACAATGGCTCTAAATGAAGGCAGGAGAGGCATGATTAAGTATACAACATGTACTTTAGGCCACGGTCCTTGTGATGGCTGTTGCTGTTGCTCAGAGACCTCTTTTGGTAAATTTCCTAATCCTCTGCCATGCTCCACGGTGTCTAATACATATTAGACAGTCATTAAATACTGGCTGAACGGTGACTGAACAGGCGAGGTGTAAATGCATAAAGGCTTACCACAGTTTTTTACTCTGGGGAAAAAACCGAGTATCACTGCTACTTACACTAACAAACTGAATATCATCTTCATTTTCATCCGCTGTTGACTCAGATGCCTCAGGCTCAGCTGGAAGGACAGATTCTATTATCTATAAAAATAAGCCAAAACATGCTTATCTTTACAGCCACATACTTGCAGATCTTCCTGAAAGGTACACTTAAAACACACAGCTTTTGAGCAAACTAACTCAGCACAACTCCCGCAAATCCGACTCGATGGAGTTCGGTTATGCCACGGACTATGTGCAGACGTCGGAGCCGAACGCTGAAAACGCGTTACCATCCCCCATCCTCTCACAATTCCCACATCTACCCCATGAGGAATGCATGCTCACGACTTCAGAGCAATAGTGTCTCAAAATGTCGCTCCCACTGGCAGAGCAGCGGCAACAAGGAACCCCCGAGCCCGTGCAGGGGGCCAGGCGGCCATTGTTGCTGTTGGCTCCTCGCTCAGACATGCACCAGGCCCGAAAGCCGCATCGCCCGGAGTCTGCAGCCGAGCACTAGGCCTCAGGCCGGGGAGAACACAAACCTTCCGAGGTTCGGCTCTGGGAATGCCAAGGCCGGACGCTGCACTACCCACCTCCGACCCTGGGTCTCCCATTTCTCCGACGGCCTAACTGACAGCACCGCCGCTCCTGCTGTCCCTACCAGCGCCGCCGCTGCTGTCCCTGCAGCCACCACCACCGCCGCCACGACTTCCCTTCCCGCCCAGCACAGCCTTGCGCTGCCGCGCCCCGCCCTCTGTGAGCGCCGACGCCGCCGACGGAGACGCAAAACCGCTTCAAAAGGAGCAGCGGCCCGCACTGGCCCGCTATTCCGGAGCCTTTTTCGCGTACTACCGGCCTTCCCTCCCCTCGCCGCGAAGGTTGCTGGGAATTGTAGTTTCGGTCTCTCCAAAGACCTCCCGTGTTGATGGAGAGGAGCGGAAAAGGACCCCAAACTACGACGCATGCGTTCCGCCAGGTAGCCATCAAACTGCAGTTGAGTGGAACCCTGGGCGTTCTTCGTCCTGCTTGATCCAGCACTTCTGGGATATGGAGGAGCCGGGCGGTGGGGGTGGGGGGTGCGGGTGGGCGGTGGGGGGTAGATGTAAAGGAGGATCAGTTGGGTTTGGTCTGTTTGTAGAAGCGAAGGTTACTAATTTCTGTATTAACTCTAAAAGTAGGTGATGTGAACTAATTTCTCTCCCCTCTCCCTTTTTATTGGGGGGCGGGGGCAGGGAGTGTGGAGGTTAGCTGAATTCGAAGATCAGGAAAGAAATTTGGGGTGTTCTTACATTGCTCACTTCTTACCTAGATTCCATCACCCAGTCCCAGCATGTAATAATACACCTGAGAAAAAAGAGGGTGAAGGACCCATGCTGTAGTCTCAGTCAGCCTTAAGAAAAATGGCAAAAGTAGAGTCAAGGGTCCAATAGAAAGGGAGTCCACGCATGGCTAACTTTATCACGAAGGCCTAGACCAGTGATGTTAAAATGTCTTTTTCTCAAAATATCCTCAGATACAGGAATACATCAATTTATTGCCCTTTGCCGATATTGCGTTTTTTATAAATTGAAGATTTTATGGCAACCCTGCATCGAGCAAGTCTATCAGCGCCATTTCTGCAACAGCATATACTCACTTCATGCCTCTGTGTCACATTTTGGTAATTCTCACAATATTTCAAACTTTTGCATTATTAATTATATCTTATGATGATCTGTGATCAGTGATCTTTGATGTTTCTATTGTAATTGTTTTGGGATGCCACCAACCAGGCCCATACAAGGCAGTGAAATTAATTGATTAATGTGTGTGTTCTGACAGCTCCACCAACTGCCATCCCCCATCTCTCTCCCCTCCCTCAGGCCTACCTATTCCCTGAGACAGGACAATATTGATATCAGGCCAGTTAATAACTCTACAATGGCCTCTAAATGTTCAAGTGAAAGGAATAGTCCCACATTTCTCACTTTAAATCAAAACCTAGAAACGATTAAGCTTAGAGAGAAAGGAATGTCGAAAGCCGAGACAGACCAAAAGCTAGACCTCCTGCACCAGTTAGCCAAGTTGTGAATGCAAAGGAAATTAAAAGTGCTACTCCAGTGAACACACAAATGATAAGAAAGTGAAACAGCCTCATTGCCGACATGGAGAAAGTTTTAGTGGTCTGGATAGAAAATCAAACCAGCCACATTTCCCTAAGCCAAAGCCTAAACCAGAGCAAGGCCCTAACTCTCTTCAACTCTGTGAAGGCTGAGAGAGGTGAGGAAGCTGCAGAAAAAAAAGTATGAAGCTAACAGAGGTTGGTTCATGAGGTTTAAGAAAAGAAGCCATCTCCAAAACATAAAAGTGCAAGGTGAAGCAGCAAGTGCTGATGTAGAAGCTGCAGCAAGTTATCCAGAAGATCTAGCTAAGATAATTGATGAAGATGGCTACACTAAAGATTTTCAATGTAGACAAAACAGCCTTATATTCAAAGAAGATGCCATCTAGGACTTTCATAGCTAGAGAGGAGAAGTCAATGCCTGGCTTCAAAGCTTCAAAGGACAGGCTGGCTCTCTTCTTAGGAACAATGCAGCTGATAACTTTAAGTTGAAGCCAATGCTCATTTGCTATACGGAAAATCTAGGGCCTTAAGAATTATGCTAAATATACTCTGCCTGTGCTCCATAAATGGAAAAACAAAACCTGGATGACAGCACATCTGTTTACAACATGGTTTACTAAATATTTTAAGCCCACTGTTGAGAACTACTGATCAAAAACAAAAAAGATTCCTTTCAAAGTGTTACTGCTCATTGACAATTCACTTGGTCCCAAGAACTCTGATGGAGATGTACAAAGAGATTAATGTTGTTTTCATGACTGCTAACACAACATCCATTCTGCAGCCTATGGATCGTGGAGTCATTTCAACTTTCAAGTCTTTACATTTCATAAGGTTATAGCTGCCATAGATAGTGATTCCTCTGATGGATCTGGACAAAGTAAATTGAAAACCTTCTGGAAAGGATTCACAATTCTAGATGCCATTAAGAACATTCTTGATTCATGGGAGGAGGTCAAAATATCAATATTAACAGGAGTTTGGAAGAAGTTGATTCCAACCCTCATGGATGACTTTAAGGGGATCAAGACTTCAGTGGAGGAAGTAACTGCAGATGTGGTAGATATAGAAGTGCAGCCTGAAGATGTGACTGAATTGCTGCCATCTCATGATAAAACTTTAATGGATGAAGAGTTGCTCCTTATGGATGAGCAAAGAAAGTGGTTTCTTGAGATGGAAACTACTTCTGGTGAAGATGCTGTGAACATTGTTGAAATCACAACAAAATTTTTAGAATATTACATAAATTTAGTTGATAAAACAGCAGCAGCATTTGAGAGGATTGACTCTAATTTTAAAAGTTGTATTGTGGGTAAAATGCTATCAAATAGCATCGCATGCTACAGAGAAATCTTTCATGCAAGGAAGAGTCAATTGATGCGGCAAACTTCATTGTTGTCTTATTTTAAGAATTTTCCCCGGCCCCCCCAGCCTTCAGCAACCACCACCCTGATCAGTCAGCAGCCATCAACATCAAGGCAAGACCCTCCACCAGCAAAAAGATTAAGACTCGCTGAAGGCTCAGATGATGGTTAGCATTTTTTAGCAATAAAATATTTTAAATTAAGGTATCTACATTGTTTTTTTAGGCATAACATTTGCACACTATTGCACACTTAATAGACTACAGTATAGTGTAAACATAACTTTTACATGTACTGAGAAACCAAAAAATTCATGTGACTCTCTTTATTGCAATTCTCACTTTATTGCGGTAGTCAGGAACCAACCCACAATATCTCCTGTATTAGCTGTATGCCTGTATTACCCTACTAAAATAGAAAAACAGTTGACTTTTTTTTTCAGTGTTCATACTCCCAGTCTATAAAAGAGATCACTGATGTTAGCCTGTGAGTTTTCATTTTTTTCTCAGATAGAGCCTTACAAAAGTAATGGACAATTTTTTGTAGGGTCTTTTTATTTTTATTTTTTTATTATAAATTAGATGAAAGTTTACAGAGCAAACTAGCTTCTCATTAGACAATACACATATTGTTTTGTGACACTGGTTGCCAACCCCACAACTTGTCAACACTCTCCCCTTCTTGACCTTAGGTTCCCCATTACCAGCTTTCCTGTCCCCTCATGCCTTCTCATCCTTGCCCTTGGACTGGTATACCCCTTTAGACTTATTTTGTTTTATGGGCCTGTCGAATCTTTAGCTGAAGGGTGAACCTCAGGGGAGACTTCATTACTGAGCTAAAAGGGTGTCCGGGGACCATACTCTTGGGGTTTCTCCAGTCTCTGTGAGACCACTACGTCTAGTCTTTCTTTTTTTTTTTGAGCTAGAATTTTGTTCTACATTTTTCTCCAGCTGTGTCTGGAACTGTCTATTATGATACCTGTCAGAGCAGTTGGTGGTGGTAGCTGGGCACCATCTAGTTGTGCTGGACTCAGTCTGGTGGAGGCTGTGTTAGTTGTGGTCCATTAGTCCTTTGGACTAATCTTTCCCTTGTGTCTTTGGTTTTCTTCATTCTCCCTTGCTCCAGACAGGGTGAGACCAGCGGAGTATCTTAGGTAGCTGCTTACAAGCTTTTAAGACCCCAGACGCTACTCATCAAAGTAGAATGTAGAACATCTTTATAAAATATGTTATGCCAGTTGAGCTAGATTTCCCCAAGACCATGGTCCCCAGAGCCCTCAGCCCAGTAATTTGGTCCCTCAGGGAGTTTGGATGTATCTATGAAGGTTCCATGACCCTGCCTTCAAGTTGTACTGGCTTCTCCAGTATTGTGTATTGGAAATTTTTTTTTTTTAAATGCCAACAGTTGTCAATAGTTTTTGAAAAAATTTAAGCGAGAAAATGCTTTTCCATCTTAGATGCTTGTTTTGGCCTGTCTACATGAAAATCTACCATCTGATTACCTGTGCCTGTAGTAATTATAAAAGCAGCTCTGGTGGCACACTTGGTTAAGCACTTGGCTGGGTTGGTGGTTCAAACCCACCAGTTGCTCAGTGGGAGAAAGATGTGGCAGTCTGCTTCTGTAAAGATTTCAACCTTGGAAACCCTATGGGGCAATTCTACTCTGTCCTATATTCTGTGCAAACCAGAATTCTATCCAAACCAGAATTGACTCACTGCAACTGGTTTGGTTTGGTACGGGTAGTTATTGTTGCTTAATACTTGATATTTCCTGCATTTCCACCAAGTGCTTTATGACTTCAGTTGTTTTTCTACTTAGTGAGTTTAAGACTTGTAGAGGCAAACTGAGAAAAAGAGGCCTACCTGGACAGTGCCTCAAAACCTGTATTTCTAAAATCTTTTAATTGTCTAGACAAAACTTGTATTTAAAGATTTTCCTAATGTACTCATGAGTATTCAATGGAACACTTACTTTAATCTGGTGCAGGTAGGATCTGACTGGTAAAACTCTTGGAAAACAAATAGGCAGTATGTGGCTATGCCCCCAAAATGCTCATACCCTTCAATTCAGTAATTGTCATTACAGACACTTATCCTGAGGACATAAGCTAAGCTGTGGGAAATGCTTTATGCATAATAGTACTCATGACAGGTTTGTTTATAAGAGCAAAAACCGGAAAACATCTAAATTTCTAATAATTGGGGAATGGAATGGTTAAATTTTGGTATGTACTCTACCAACGTAACACCATGTTTTACCT